ACTGCTCCCTGTCACCGGACTGAAAACCACATTAAAGCCGATGTGGGCTCCAGGGGTACTCTTGAGGCTTTCTGCCAAGATCCTTTGCCCAGCTTGTCCCTAGTAACAGTCACAGCAACAAACCTCCTCCTGGACTATCTTAAACTCAAAGCATGAAGGTTTGGATTAATTGTTATTAATCTGAGGCATTCAGTATTTTGTTGGCCATTTGAAAAATCCAGGTCCCATCCAAAGCTCCCTATGTCCTTAACCTCAACAGCATCCTGGGACAGTGAGTTCCTTCATCTCAACACTCCAAATTATGTTTGGACTATGTTCCTTTTGGTGATGCCATGTCACCCGAGCAGAATGGTGGAACAGGTCAAAATGTACCAGAAAACTTGAAAGTCAACAGCTGGTAGCCAGTGTGTTCAGGAGGCACAAGCCAGAGACTATAAACTGTGCTCTAAAGGCAGGGTAACATCTTCTCTCTCCTCCTCAGGGGTACAAGATGGATGATCTTTTGACCTCGTACATCAGCCAGATGCTAACAGCCATGAGCAAACAGAGGAGTGCAAAGGGTAGCAAGTGAACTGCAAGAAGCCACTGGCAGGTGGCCATGAGGCTAATTCACCAGCTGAGGCCTGTGGGATACCCGTGCAGCTGGGGGAGAACCTTTGCCTCCCAGATGTGGAAGATGAGCCGAACACCATCAGGGAGTTCGCTGGACTCTGACCTTGAGGGCTCAAATCCCACCTCCCCTTCCAGCGAAGACGACTATCTGTGACCTCCCGTTCTCCTTCCCCATCCTGCACTCTGACTCCATCTTACACCTCAAAGATTTCCAGGGGACACCACCACTCTCAGACAGTGACTGAGCAAAGACACTCCAGCAGGAGGTTTGCCTGAAACCAACGGTTGGCATCACAAAGGCTCTTGGAAGAGGATTTCTCTGTGTGTGTGTGTGTGTGTGTGTGTGGCTTGCTTTGATTTGTTTTGGTTTTTTTTCTTAAGTGAGAGAGAGCTATCGGGATGCCAACGGCTTTTTTGGTGAGGTTATGGGCATTTCAGGTTTGAAGAGGAATAACAGGGCCCTGATCCATGCTGGAAAGATGTCCAATGAACACTACAGGGCTTGGTTTTTGCTATTACAAAAGAATACCTTGTGTTCTTAAGAAGGACAGAAAGAAAAAGCAGGCTGGGAGGAGCACATTTTAACTAGGAATCAGAATAAACGAACTACTGATCGAACAGGCTAGAGTACTAAAGTGCTGTCAGTGCAATGCTGGAAATATTTAAAGAACAAATTTTAAAGTTTTGTTTCTTCTTCTATTTATTTTTTAAAATATTAAAAAGGAAAAAAATAAAATCCTGCATTTTGTGCCGGTATCTGGACGCTGACTCGGGACTTGAGGGCGACCTGCAGGACAAATCCCTCACCCAGGGATGCCCCCAGAGCCGTGATTGCCAGAGGCTCAGTAAGGCACATCTTTCCCAACTTACAGGCTCAGCTGGAAGTGAAGCTTGGGAGACAAATTACATCCCTTTTCCCTGCTGTGACCAGACAAATTAACCCTGGGAGGATCTTTACTGCAAGCTTCACTATGGATGTAGGGGTTTTGAAGTCCCCATGCTTGGAAGACTGAGGCCAAGCCTGGGCTGAGCTGCGATTCAAACATGGACTTGGCCATCAGCGTCAGAAACAACAGATAATGATTTTATTGTGCTTTTGTGTGCGTTGCTATATAAAAATGGCTCTTTACGAGGCCCAGCTGTACCTGAACCACTCACACCAAGTGCAGGTCCTTGATTTCGGTGGGTTTTTCTCCATCTTTAGTTGGTTGCACTAATCTGCTGGCTGGTTGTCCTGTCTTCCACCCGACCCCAAGCAGTGCAAACCAGCCTGCTTTGGAGCAGAGATGGGACCTGCCAGCAGAGAGGAGGCTGAAGCCGTGTTGTGTCTGGGCAGATGCAGCAGAAGGAGCCTGGAGTGCCTTTCCAAAATCCAGGCTTCAAAGAAGCATATGCCTGGGTGTGGGGCATCAGGTGGGGTGACAATTGTCCACCAAGATCTGGTGCTGGTGTCACTAATACTAAGTGGATCTCAGTAGATGTGGAGACCTCTCTTGGTCCTGTGCATTGGGCTGCTTTCATAAAAGTCCATGTTGTAGGGCGTCATGTGTTGCTCTGTTAAGCTCAGCTGGGCTCAGTTCTCCAATACAATGGTGTGCCAGGCAGTCAACAGCACTGCCTACCAGACCTCAAGGACCATGACATCCAACTGGGATCCAGCAGTGACTTTGGACCTCAGTTGCTCCACCAAAGTGAATGAGATGCTGCATGGAGACATCCACCATCCAGCCAGGGCTGCTCGGAGATCCCCTTCCTCCACCGTCCCCCTACCCAAACATTCTGGTGATGGGAGCATGGTTATACCAGCCAAGGCTATACTGCGAGCCAAGCTGCCTTCTCACCATCCATCTCTGATGCTTCCCTCCCCCTCCCCAGCTGCCACGATCCAGCTGTTCCAGGGATCCCACCTGTTTTTAGACACATACCCATCATCCCCACCACCACCACTGCTTTTTGTGAGTCTCCAGTCATCCCTGCCTCCCACAGCACATTCAGTAGATGATGCAACACAGCAACGTTTTCCAGCGCTGTCCTGGGCCAGCTTTCCTCTGCCACCACCCTCATCCCTCCACTTACAGCTCTGTTGGCCTCCCATGCACCCCACTGTTTTTGGGGGGAGTGTGTGGGTCCTGGGACTCTGTGTGCGTGTGTCTGTGTGTCATATGTATTAGCATCTGCTGGCCTCTTTGTATTTACACCAAGCAATGTAACATGAAAAACATATGTCCAAGTGAAATACTCTAATTAAAAAGCATCAAGTGGCTTGTGGGAGGTTGTTCTGCATTGCGTGATTGTGGTGTCTCCACAGGGAAGGGTGGGCTCAGGGCTCCCAGGTCCTTGTGGGGACAAGACTTCTCCTTGCAGAGTGAGACTCCTGGGGAGAGTATCCAGCAATGGGGAGCAAATCATCAGTGTGCCCAGACTGGAAATTAAGTGAAATCTTTTCTTTTTTGGGTAAAAAACATTGGAGCCTGGGGAGTCTCCATTGCTCATCCTTTAAGACAAGGGCTGATTCTTCCACAAATGCCAGTTTTGAGCTGAATCATTGGATGTGGGAAGTACCAGGTGAAAAGTTTGTGTGTGGGAGTCAGACTACAGCCATGTGCTTAATGGCATTGCCAGACTCTGCTGGCTGTGAAGCAACAAAAATAGTAGCTGAGCTGTGACAGGGCGTAAGGCATTGCAGGAAACCACAGGCCTAATTGGCTGTCCTCTGCCTGGACAAGGCTGCTGAGGATGAGGAAGGTGAGTAAGGGGAGATAGCACTGTGAAATGGCCAAGCAGCTGCTATACACATGGATGATGGTGTATTGAGGTGGTTTTTCTTAATAAATATTAAAAGCAGCAGTTGGGGGACCACAGCCAAATCCCTCGCCTGGACACCAGGGGACAGGCTGAGGACCCAGTGGTGCTCAGCCCACACACTCTCCACCTCCTACTTTTGCTGCTCACATACCTCCAGATGAGTGGTACTCACGAAAAATTATGAACCAGCTATAGATGCAGGGCATGGGGAGGGGGTTTAACACTGTCAGTAACTTCTTCTCCCTGTGCTTCATAGCTCTGGAGCTGCTCTACACCAATTCGCCAGCCCTTTAGCCCCTTTTCCAAAGGAAGATGCTGCCTTTTCGCATTTCTAGCTTCCAAAACACTCCAAAATTGCAGTGCTTCTTACCACAGCTAACTCTGAAACCTAAGGCTTCCCTGCCACAATTCACTTGTGATAGCTTTATTTGGCAAAAACACCAAGCTGCATGAGGCTTGTGTATGAGAAAATGTCTATAGCCTGATTGAGGTAAAGACTACGATTTTCTTCCCCTTTCCCAGTTTGCCAGAATAAGAACAAAAACAGGATCCTAACTCCAGGATAGGAGAGCTAAAATGTATTTAAAATAGCACTTGCCATTTACAAAAAATGTGTTCTTCTTATCTGTTCAAGTAGAAATTTATGGCTTAAACCTGGGAGATTCTCACACCTCCCTTGCAGAGCAGGGCATAGACTCCCTCCTCTCTGTGCGCCAGCAGCCACCGGGAAAAATGAAAATCAGAATAAATCCCAGGGTGCAGCACAGGTATACAGACCTTCCCATGGGAAAAGCAAACAGGACACTTGCTGGGATTGATTCACATGCAGCTCAATCCTTCTGAAGAAAAGTGGTGTGCTCCTGGTCATAGTCCCAGTAGATACATGGCCAAGGCATGAAAAAGTCCTTCAGCACCTGTAGGAAAATACGCCCCAGCCCACAGCCAAGGGGAAGAGCCTGTCCTGTTAGGGTCTATGGCAGGGCAAGAGCGGGGAAAAGGAAAAACTAAGCTGCCTGTGTTATAGAGAGGTATGGACCCTAGTGACCCAACCAGCAGCATTTGACCATCGTGGTGGGGTTAGTGTGCTCTTGGGAATGGAGGAGACCTGCAAGGAGGGAGGTCTGACAGAAGAAACGTGGACAGCTGAGAAAGAGGACTGGAGGATGTTCAGCTGTTTGCAACATGTGTAAAACACAGCTGTGGAAACAGAGGGCTTACGCACAGCAGGAGGGATTACAGGAAGACTGTCCTGTGGGATGCCAATGGTCTCAGAGGTAAATGCTGGCTCCCATGCGGTTGCTGCATCTCATTGTGGTGCAGAGCTTCTTCATGGCTGCAACTCCATCTGTGCTCCCCTACACCCCAGGGATCCCTGACAGGCATGGGATTGCGAGAAAAACTGTAGAAGAGGAAGCTCAGTGCTCATCTCCAGTAGGGTCATGAAGGCAAATGGCTCCTCCTCACCAGGCAGCTCTGAGGCCCCCCCAGCTGTCCGCCTTGGCAGGTTGGTGTTTCCCCTGCAGGAAGGGGTTGCTCTCCAGTCCTCGTCGAGATGGCAGGTCCACATCCCCTCCCCGCCCGTGTCAGGCCATGACGGCAGGCATGTCGCTGAGCTCTGGAAAAGGGAAGACACAGTGAGCTACTGAAATGTCTGCAGTTGTTTTGCCAGCCGTCGTAAGCAAACAAAACCCAGCTGAAAATGCATGCAGTCCAGGTTGGGTCATTTTGTCTGGGTGATAGCTCCAAGGGTGCAGAAACCTGGTGCACAGGAGGGTCCCCAGCCAAACCCACCCTGACTTGTAGACCCAAGAGTTCTCAGCACCTCTGGACTCTCTTTTCACAGCATCACAGAGTAAGACATACTGGAGGTCTCTGCCCCAACCTCTGCTTGAAGCAGGGCCAGTTAGCTCAGGCTGCTCAGGGCTTTGAACGTTTCTGAGAGTGGATATTCCCCACCTCTCTGGGCATCTGTTTCAGTATCTGACCACTCTCACAGGGAAGATCTCTTTTTTTTCTCTTTGTATCTAGTTAAAATTTCCAAAGTTGCAATTTGTGCTGTTGCCACTGCACATCCAAGAAACATCCAGCGCCATCTTCTCTACACCCTCCCATTAGATGGTTGCAGACAGTGATAAGATGCCCCTTGACCTTCTCTCCCACCACGCAAACCCAGATCTCAAATGCCCCAGCTTAGTGGCCCCACTGAGCTCGCTTCCATTTGTCACAGTCTGCTTGGTACCGGGGAGCCTGAACTGGACCCAGTGCCTAGACGTGGCCTCACCAGTGCTGAACAGAGGGGAGAAATCACTGCCACCTGCACCAGGAACTGAGACAACCCAGGATGCAGCCAGCCTTCACCACAGCATGGGCACCCATCACCAACCCATCCATCAGGACCCTGGTGCCCCTACGGAGACGGCTCTGAGCAGGCTGTGACTCTTGGCTGTCCTTGCCCTGCTTACCTGTCCTGAACTTGTTGTAGGTGCCACTCTCCAGCACCGAGCCACCGTCATGGGCACAGCAGGAGAAACTCCGCTCTCGCCACCTGCATGGGGCAAAGCACTTGGGTCAGGTCACCGCTTGCTGTGGTTCCCCTCGCAGCTCCCTGATGCCCTGGGCTACTTTTTTCTAGTTTGTCAGGGCAAGAATGGCCCTGGTATTTTGGGATTTGCTCAGGTCCTTACCAAGAAGGGACTCCAGTGCATGACTGATGTCTAAGCATCCACACTTCACGTGTGCAACAGTGTTTTGAAGGCAACTTTATGTGTCTAAGCCCTGTTTTCTAAGAAATATTTAAGAGCTCAAAAGCCCTGGAAGTGTTTGCTGCCACTGGTTTCTAAGCAGCCAGGGAAATTTAAAAATTGTAATTTTGGCATATTCATAAACTTGACAAACCAGACCATGCAGGGCACTTGGGCACTGCTGATGGTCCTTCACTCCCGACAGGACTGGGAATGCCCTTGCTGCAATGCCAGTCCAGAAGAGGTTGTAATTTGACTGGATCAGAAGCATTGGCAGAGCCCTGGGAAATGCACACACAACGTGAACATGACCCTGGAGGGAATGGGTATGGGAAGGTCTGATGGTGGTGATGCATTGCAGGGGTGATGGTGAACCCCCCTGCAACCCACAGCCTTGAAAGCAAGGTGAAAGTTGCTAAAGCAGGACCTGAAGAGAGCAGGGTGAGAGGGGAAGGAAGGGAAGGAGCCACTTTGCTTTGGGAAGGGAAAAGCCTGGATGCCCAGCAAACATGCCTGTACAGCTACTAGTTCATCAACTGGCCATACTGCTACTAATTAATTTCCCCACTATCCCCACCCTTTCCTATGCCAAAGCAAGTCACAGTTACAAGCAATCCAGATTGATCACCCAGGAGCTTCCCAAACATTCCCCTTGCTGTCACCTCCAGCACAGTTGGGCTGCCAGCAGCCCTGCAGAAAACACCCCTGGGCTGGCTGGGCTGGTCCTTCCACCCATCCACACCTGGCCAGCTGAAGGGCTGAGCCCAGCACCCCCTGTTTTCCTTGGGCACCCCTCGGATAAGAGCACAGGCAAATTCCTCATCCAGTCGTGGCAGAGCAGAGCATCCAGCAGCCCGACCCAGCCTTCGGGAGTGATCCTGTCCTGTGAATCCCAGATTTCCCAGTTTTTAAACAGAGGCTTTGACAGCATGGGAGGAAACAAAATGTGGTGTCTGACACACTCAGACATTTTCATCTGGGAGGATGGCTTTCCTCAGGGGCTCTGGCATGTGCAGAGAAACACAGGGTTCTCAAATATTAATACTAAGAGCTTTCCTCCTAAGTCCATCCAATGTAAAAGCATCTAAATAGTAATCATAGAAAAATCAGTTCCTTTCTCAGCCCGTCAGCTTTGATAACTGGTTTATGTTGTTACTGTAAATCCACCAGGTCTCCACTGAATCCTGGGCACAGATGATGCCTGAGCTGCCAAAATGGAAAGGGAAAATGAAAGCAAGCAGGAGAAGTAGAGAGGTTATGGGAGACTTTCAGGGTTTTCTTCTAGCTCCTGAAGGGAAAGGTGATGTTCTCAAGAGTAGTTTTAACCCTTCAGATCACCTGAAAGCACCCTTCCTTCCCTCCACCTGGCACAAAAGATCAGGTTAGGATGGCCATTAGCAACTTGGTAGTTACCAGTGCAGAGCAAAGATGAGTGAGATGAGGAGCACAGAGGTCAGATCTGTCAGGATCCACATGATGTTGTACTGCTGCGGAGTCTGGAAGAGAACAACAGAGGATGTGTCCACCACCAAAGACCCCAAGATACGCAAATAAGTTGCTCAAGCTCTTTCTTGCCCCTCGAGTATGGCCATTCATCTGCTGGTTTTGCATGTGCAATAACATCCCTCAGGTGTTTAAAGCATTTAGTGGTATTTCAATGTGCCCACTCACCAGTGGGTGTTGGTGCCAAATCATTATCCTTCATAAAAACAGGTCTGTTGTGTGGCCAAGAAGACCGTACCACATCACAGTGAATATAACAGGGACCTCTTTTTTGTACAGGCACGCCCTGTAGTTCTCTCTGCTTCCCTCCAATGTCAACATCGACTGGTGGCATCTCATTTTCTCTAGCAAAACTGTCCTTTAGTGAGCACCACAGAGTGTCTGGAATGGCTCCTGCTTTAAGTCTAAGAGCATCTGACGATTACTCCTTAGACTGGACCTCCACCCACCCTCAGAACGGACTGAAACACTGCAGTTGTCTGCATGGAAGCATCAGAAAATCTGCTTCAAGAGTGTGAAGCCAGCTATTCAAGGTAGTAACCTTTAGGTTGCAGGGACATTGGTGGGACCAACGCCCCAGGTGCTCCTTGACCCTACAGGTTGTCCAAGGCAGAATAGAGAATTATATGAAAAAAACAACTTATATGAAAAAAACCCCTTCCAGCAAGGAAGGTTTATTTCTATGGTTGTTTCCCTCAGGCTTGTGGAACAAGACCAAGTTTGATAAGGCCAGTGGGAAGTCCTGGGAAATGAGAAACTTCTGACACCAACAAGGTGCTTCAAAAGCTTAGAAATGCAAATCCTCATTCATCTGCTCGTGCCCTCAAAGGCCCTTCCTTTCTTCCCACACAAGTCCCAGTATGACTTCTTTTCCCTCATTTCAAGGCCTAAGTTGCAATTCCTAACAAGCACGGTGCTTCTACCCGAGCCAAGAGATGTGTGGTGATACCCAGAGTGGCTCAGAGGTTCCAGACAAACCAGGTTTCAACTCAGGTCCTTTTCATGCAAAGGGTCCTTTATCCACGCACGAATTGGCCCATGGTCGCCAAAGGTAACCATGAACATCCCAACCCTACTTTCTTACTCCTGGAATGGGGAGGATTTTCACTTACCATGAGGAAGAGTGGCTGGTTGAGATTCTTCAGCGTGTGGACGGCATTGGTGGTCACAGAGTGTGCCCCAGAGCACCATGCCAGGGAGAAAAGCCATGGCTCGTTGACCACGTAGAGGTTTGTGGTGATATTTGCCTCAGCGTATTTCCTTTAAAAAAACAAAAGGCAATAGCCTTTGTTAAGCAAGGAGGTCAGTACTTACTTTGGGCTGAATCAAGAAGACAGAGCAATTTTCCGTAGGAAAGGCTTGTTTTAGGACCTAGGTAAGGAATGGAAAGGAAAGCCAACCAGCCAATAATTAATCATTCACAGTTGGTCAATACAGAATAGCTGATCTGCTGGAAGCAAATGCAGTCAAAGCATCCAAAAGGTCAAAACTTTGCTTACCCTTCTGCCATAAGAATCCAGGTAATGATGTGTTTGTAATCTCCCAACAGTATGTTCAAAACCACCTCGAAGCTGGCTATTCATGTTTGTTATGTTTGCTGCATCAACTCATCATTTTTTAAGTTCTTACAAGCTATTGAAACTTAATAAGAAGTAAGATCACACTTTGTATAATGGTGAAAGAATGCATCATCAGTATCAGCAGTTGTAAGTCTACCTAGGATCTATCCAGGGTTTACCCAAATGTATCTACCCAGGATTTTACATCCTGTGACAATTATAATTGAGAAAACATGAACGTTACTTTCATCCAAAGGATTAAACCTTTTCTTTTCTTCTTCTTTTTTTAAAAAAAATTAGATTTCAATGTTTTTGTGCAGTGGAGAGAGCAAAAAATCCTATTTACAAAAGGACATCTGAACAGGTAACACTGGTTTTTCTTTTTTCATATGAGAGAACCATTTTGGAAACTACTGCAATGAATGTGGACCCTTCCGTTGGAGACATGCCATTTTCAGCGTGTCACAAGCAACAGAGTACTGGCAGTAACAGAGACAAGAAATGAAGTCTCCAAAACACCAGCTACAAGAGGGTGACGGTCTCTCACCACAGTGTTGTGCACTCACACTGATGTTTGTAGAAGAGTCACGGGAGGTTAAATAGTCGTTTTTTCTACATGATTCAGTGTTGGTGGGACTGAGAATGGCATGAATAGAAAGACAAGAAATCAGGAGACAGGTGCGTTATTCTACCCAGAAGATCCTCAGATTCTGGTCAAGTACATTTGGACTTGGGTATGGGGGGGTTGTAATTACATTTGTCACTTCTTGACCACACGCAGGGTCAACAGTAGGAGTGAACTACAGTCCTTCACTCCCAAAATACAACAGGGATGGACACTTGATCTAAAGGTGCTCTTCCCAAAATGCCATAGATCCTGGAGCTGGTCACTGGAGGGAGACATTGCCACATGCATGAGGCAAACATAGTCCAGACGCAGTCCATCAACTGTACCTGGGGATGAAATGGCAACCTACCGGATATCTTCGCTGGACATTTCAGTGTAGGCTAGATTGAGTTTGACAATATTGTCCATCAATAGGTCTTCAACTGGGGCCTTACTGCCCATTGTCTGCTGAAATCCAGGAGCGACAGATTGAACAAAGGACCTCATGTCGTTCTCCAGCCATAGGACCTGCAGGCAACAAGAGGACCCAGTGAATTCATAGCTGACGTACTAATATGCCCTGCCCTTCACACAAACCCAGTAAAGATAACCTCTTGAGGGGTTTAACCCAGCCTCTCAAATGACATGTTTCTTTCAACGGTCAAAGAACATTTGGATGCAGTGTTAAAACCTGCAAGTCACTTTCCTCAAGAAATAAGTATTCACTGTTCCTTGCTTATCAACTTGAAATCAGTGACTATGTTTCACACAGCCCAACAAAAGATGCAGTGTCTAAAATGAGTAAAAAGACAGCTTTGGTTTATGGGAAAGGCAACAGAAAATACTCTGTTCTCTCATTCTCCCAGCATGGGAGAAGAGATCTTCAGCAGACACAGATCAGCATAACTCCCTGGACATCGATGGGTACACAACCTGATCCACGTGAGTTTAGCATTCATCCATTGCCATTGAAGGAGGAAGGTGATGAAGGCTCCCAACTCCATGTACTTTAACTTAAGCCAGGAGTTTCTATGCAATACACAAAATAAGCGTGTGTGGCAGGGAGTAGGCTACCAATAATTACAATGATGAAAGGATGTCATTTGGGGGCTAAGGCATCAGCTGGTATACACACTGGCTTCTTTCCCTGTGCTGCTGTAGGGTCACACCATCTTGTACCTGCTGAGAAGCTACCAGTAGGAATATATTCCAAATGGTGCCTCTTAAAACAAATGAAATGCAAGGAGCTGGACTTTATGCAGGTGAAATCATGCAGGGTATGACCCCAAAGCCTCAGTTCAGAGAGCAAGAAAAAGGGCTGTGGAGGAATGAGGTGACCCTACCAGGTGGGGTCTAATCCCCGACTCGTTGAGGATGACTTCCAGGGTTCTGTTGATCCACGAGTTCCTGTAAGGATGGTTCTCTGGAGGGCGGTAGAGATCAAATATCACAAGTTTATTCTGACTGTCTGCGAGGCGCAAGAAATTACTTAGCTTGTAAATTGACTGATTCATTGCCTGGTTTTGATCTGCCCTTGACAATGAGTTCATGCATGAAAATGGTTTGTCCTAGAAATAAACAGATATAAAAAAGGAAATCAATCAGGCAGTCGCCTCTGGGAGTCAGTTGCATGCAAAAACCTCATCTTTCTAAAAGGAAAAATGTTTGACATCAGACCTCAGCAGGTGAGGAAATTTTATTTAGTTTAGCTCTTCTACCGGAGAAACAGGGGAAATTAACCCAGGCTGCAACGACACTGCTTCTGGGACCTAAATTGCATAGTTCACAGCTAGGTCAGCTGTGTTTCTCTGCCCCACCATGTTTGCTGTGACTATTATACACAGCGCCTTGCACAAGTAGCTCTGGTCTTCTTCCCCCAGCCCATGTGTTCTGCCACTGCCATGACAAGGGGCTACAAGAACACCCACCAGCCAGTTGTTACAGGTCTCCTAAGTCAAAAGGCCAACAGGACAAAGCAAGGAGACCCAAACTGAAGGATTTCTACTGATTTCTTTGAGTTTTGGCTCAACCAGTAGTTCCTCTCCTAACATACATGCTACTAAGTAGTAGCCAGCTGTTGTCTCTTTTACATCCAGTTGATGATAGCCCTTTGCGGCGCTTACCTTAAGGAACCACATTCCAGCATTCAACTCCTGCAGGGTATCCCAGGAGAATAATGCGGCATTTTGAGCAGTGTCATTGGGGTAGACCTCCTTGATGTTAGTTGTCCTCCTCAAGGTGCTGTCATGCATGAGGAAAGGAATCCCATCATAGCTGTTGGAGAGCAAGAGTTCAGGTCACCTGGGGTGCGGGTTCATTCATGGCATGAGCAGACTCATGCCAGGTCAAAAGAATATGTGGGCCATCATGAATGCAGTAGTATGGCCGCCCATATTGCAGAGGGTGGGATAGGGAGTAAGGCTAAGGCTCAAGACACCAGCTTGTTTCCAGCTTAAATTCTGCTGGGTGACCTTGGAGAAGTCATGCCTGGCCATGCCTTATGCCCCTTTCCTCAGGGGCAAAGTGGAGACTGTGGCATTTATGCCTGCCAGCCCCCCAAAAAAATGGATAGTAACTTATGGTTGAAATCTCTTTTTGCTGACACCAAAGTGTTTCTATGAGTTTCAGAGGACTGAAGTCTAAATGGACAGTAATGGAAAGGCAACATTTTCTCCTATAGAAAGGTCTACATTAGAAGAACATCTAAGCATTAGTATTTTTCTCATTCAGTGCCTGAAAATTGCTCATCCTGCACAGCATGTTAGCAATTTGTGGCAACGGCTCACCCAAACAAAGGCAGTTAAAGATCTAATAATTAGGACAATGCTGTCACAAGTCTGAACAGAATTTTCTGTTGGTTTGTAGACCTGATACAACCCTCACTGTGGCTGGGAAGTCAGAGTAGGGTAGGGGCTTGTCTTTATACTTTGCAAAGCATTTAAAATAGACTGTAGAAATAATGATTGTTAAATCAATAGCGACAGCTTATTGACTTGCCTGAGAACAACCATGCCCTACAGCCGCTGTCATCACGCTCCAACTGAGGGACTCTGTCCCAGCCATCAGTAAAACCGAACTGCTTGGAGTTCATGTCCCCAAAGGCAACTCTTAGAAGAAGCATATATTCTGTGAGGTGCAATGTTTTCCCCTTACCTAATGGTGACATCTGTTTCAAGACCATCCCCACCATGTTCAATTGTCTTCTGAAATGACATCTCAGTGTTTTCTGGTGCCAGCTAAAAAAAAAAAACCAACAAAACTGCATGAGCAGATCATTTTCAAACACACTCTGGAGGATTCTAGAAGTACTTTTTGTCTCTTTGTAACACCTCTGTTTTTTATTAAGGGAACATCATTATCTTGTTAAAGCCTCCTGTTTGTTTTCTTCAGCTGTACCCACCAAACCCATCTTGTCCCATGGGAACAGTGTTATCCTTGTTAGCAAACCCATGCAGTGACGCTTTTGGCGTGCAGATCCAAACAGAAATGTCTCCCCTTCCACCCCCCACAGATTTCATGAAAAAAAAAAAAACCCGAAGATGATGATGAAGGTAGCAAGACACAGGATGAAGAAATTATGTAAAATAACTTCTCCAGACCTACCATTGGTGCTCCACGGTGTCCAACGAGGGCTGGCTTTGGTCCAAGTGTTCCCATCTCTCTGATGCAAGGAGAGTACATCCCCAGAGGTATCAAGAAAAGAAAGAGAAGGATAGCCAGGTATGGACCAACAATTATCACCTGAACAACTGAAAGAATTTGAAGGAGGAAGGCTAGAGTTAATCCATGCAGTAACATACGGGTTTGCCTTGCGGCGTGACTTTTAATACAGCCCTCCAGCGAAGGAGCTGTTGGGCTTTGTCCCATCCCTTTTTCCATCCCTTCTTCCCCTAACTTTCACCTTCTTTCCAAACAATGCAACCCAGGAAAACAAATTGGTCAAAGCAAGGACACGGGCTAAGTCAGGACTGCAGGTTTTGTGCTTTAGTTATATCTCACTACACCTTAAAGCAAGACCAGGCCTTACTTTCTTTTTCTTTAGAGGTGGAGCAATGAAATATCCCTCGTCTGTAGAAAAACAATCCTCAACAGAAGGATGCTAATTTTTTTTTCTTACTCAGATAAGAACAAGCAACATTCTGAAGTTTCATTCACAGTGAAGAAGAGGAGGAACCTTTCTCCTTCAACTATGTTACATCCCCTTAAGGTGAATACTCTGATTCATTCAGATTGCTGTCAGAGACCTTCTGTGTGCGACCTACAGAATCCTACAGACTCTGACTGCATGGGTATTGCATCTCAGAAACTTGCCAACTCATTACCTACAGTCTTCCTGGAGCCTGTTGACACATTGCCCAAGAGCCCCAGTGAGCCCTCACCTCAGGGAACAAAACAGTTCCTCCGAGAAATGAGCACCTATACACCAACATCTCTTTCTTGAATGGGTACCACCATCCCTCTACACGTTGTGTCGGTGGCTCTGAAGAAACTTGGGCTTACACCAAGCCAATGTATTGAGTTGAGAGTCCATTAGGCACGGTGGACTGTAATGTCCAGGGTCCCAGCATACTCCCCTCCAACCTCCCCAGCTGTAGTTCAATAAGAAAAATCCTGGGCAGGGAAAAAAAAATGTTTTCACCAGCCCTTTCTGTCTGTGATTTTTGTTACAAATCAACATCTGCAGATGGGTGCCATGTAGATAACTTTGGCTATGTGGAGAGATTAGGTCACAGAAAAACAGCCAGTCCCAGAGCAAGGCTCTTCTGCAGCTGCTTGTGGCATCTGGCCTTGTCCTTACGCTACTTGGTTGCACTTCTCAAAGGTGGACAGGAACTTCCCATAAGATAGCACTAGGAACTGATCAAAAAGCTCTTTCCCCTATCTCAGCTGGCTTTCTCTGAGATGCACTAGCCTGAAGTGGATTGACTGGACTGGAGATCCCTTCTGAGACAGTGAAGTCGAGTACAGCAAGCAAAGGTCAGCCAAGAGAGCTGCCGCTGCCTGCTTTCTCCCGCAGAGGGCTGAACAGATTTCCATGCATGACTCAGAACATGAGGACTTCTGCTGATCTCCTCTGTCCCAAGGCAGGTCACTGCCTTGGTATAGGCCAAAACTGTGCAAGGGAGCATGCAAACCAGTAAGGCACCTGGACAGCCACAGGACAGTGCACAGCCCAAGCCCCAGCCCCGCTAATTCCCCTGGGATTCATAGAAGTTGAAAGTCTCCTCCAGCTGGAGTACAGGTGTGGGAGGAAAAGCTCCTGCACGCCTGTTTTCCCACACTGATGTACATCTTTTGTCATATAGGGAGCAGGAAGCAGAGCTACCGTACCTTTCTTATCTGCTCTGATGGCATGAAGAGCCACAGGCCAGGACAGGAGGACCATGATGGTTATTGCCCCTATGTGGAGATAGGGAGCTGTGATCTGGCAAGGAGAGAAAAGGATTTTAGTCAAAGGATGAAGTGTGGAGACAGATGGAAACAAACCCCAACACGGCTCCAGCCTTCCACCTGGATGGGCTCCTGCTGTAGATACCAGCGGTTCAACCTCTCTCCCACACCTGTATTGCATCCACCAAACACCTCCGGAGTTGGAGAAGACATAAGACATAATATGCCCACAGCCAGGCCAGATACCTGGGTTGAGGAGTTCTCCTCACTCCACTACACAGCTCTCCTTTCTCCTAAGCCAGCTGAAGGGGACATGGCTGTCCTCATCCATGAGGACGCGACTGCCACTACTGCTATGCCATAATCTGTGAGCATCTTCCAGGGAGCAGCCAGTTTAAGCCAATCTAACCCAATCCAATCCCATCCAGGTAACAGTCATCTCCATACCATACTGCAGCTAAATCATTAAACAGATATCAACGAACCTGAGTAATAAAATGTGGTATTTACACCTGTATGGAACTAACTATTGTGCTGTAAGAGAAGCAGATGTATTAGATAATACCTATTGCTGGACAGATATAGTGATTGGACTTGATTTCTTTCATCCTAAAGATTAAACAAGAAGATCAGAAGCTAAGAGTCACTTCTGTGCTTATGACAAATGCATGCGCAGAGCTGGAAACCAAGCAGAAATGGTTTGTCACTTGTACAGGCGCTGACTGGGTGTGGGTATGACACACTTTTCATAAAACTAGGCAAATCTGTCAAAGAAACCAGTCCATCATTTACTCACGCTCATCAGAGCCCCGTGGTTTTTGTTCCAGCTAGAACTGAGAGTTATTAAGATGCGTCCTAGGGAAAAAAAGCTATCCAGATGCAAGCCTTTCCTATTGCTTAGTCCATGCCTGATTCCCTAAGCTGGAAGGGTTGGAGAAAGCAGCAGTCACTGAGAGACGTTATTGCATGTGAGATACCGTCTGCCCTGGACACCTGATACCAACTTCTTTCGATCAGAAGCAGGATTCAGTTGCATAAACAGAGGTGCCACCCGGGATGTCCAGGGTATCTGAGATAGCTCTGCAGGGCTGATGGACATGACACAGGATCTACAAGAGATTCAAGTCCTTTGGGAGCAGCAGCTAGAGGTCATATGAAGCATCTCAAAGGGCATGAACACCCGAAACAAACAGCACCTATGGGGAACTCAAAGGCTCTTGTGTCTCCTTCTTCTCATGCACCTCCCCTGGAGTCTGCAAGGGGAAGAAGAAACTGATGGTTTCTCATTATCTTTGCCAGTGCATAGCTCAACGGTTTCCAAACTCCGTAGACCAGGAATGTGCAATTAACCACACCCTACAAACACCACATCTGTGATTCCTCTTCCAGTCCATATGCTTTGCTCTCCCAACATACACACGCAGTAAGCCACATGGAGGAGAGGAGATCAGTCCAAACAACATCAGTGAGGCAGCTGTGTAGTCAAAGGCTACATATCTCTTCGAGACATGGTTTAGTTTAGTGAATTTAGTGGGCATGGTGCCATCAGGTATATGGTTAGATTTGATGATCTTTGAGGTCTCTTCCAACCATTATGATTCTATGATTCTATATTTCTTCCTTCCCAATACATGTGGGGACTGGGATGCTCAGATAGTAAACAGCACTGGGCAGGTCTTGCCTCCATCTTCGGATCTGGTGAGAGTTGAGAAGGCCAGTAGACCATGCACTCTGATCACTTGCATCCAACATGTTGTCCCACCTGACATCAGCGTTCCCCACCTGCTCCCCAAAGACTCTGTGCTGTCCTGCCCTCAGGAGATGAAGCTCTTCTGAGTCACAGAAGACTGAAATTATCCTAATGCTAAAGCTGCTGAACTGGCAGGATCTGATTAGGGAGAAAGTTCTTGCTCCAGCAACCCTGCCAGCCAAAGGAGTCTGATTTACCTGCCCTGGGCACCCGCATATTAATGGTACATCTATAACATTTTTGCCA